GTTTTCAGGCCAGATCACGAAACAGTGAGCCGAGTGAGGCGCGTGACACTGTTGTGCTTGTGCACGCTGAGATCTAATGCTCGTTCTCGATGATTGACAGCTGCCCCCTGGTGGTAATGCAGCGCTATTGGTCAACGCGTTAGGCTTGCAGAAATATTGGCTGAGCTCTAAAGGGCAGGGGATGGACTTAGGAGAAAATTGAAATATTAAAGATTATTTACTTTTTTAAATAAAACTAGGTCAGTTGGTCAAAATTAAAAAAATTTAAAGTTATTTCACATTTGAATCTTGCATACCCTGCCTTTAAAGTCGGGCGTAAGGACCCATTCTACTGTGCTGTGGTTTATCATCCACCTGGTCCAAACAGTTCTTTCCTTCAGGAGTTTAGTGACTTTCTATCCTCCACTGTGAAGCTGTCCAGACTGGTGATTGTGGGTGACTTTAACATCCAAGTTGATGATCCCTCTGATCACTTTGCCATGAATTTCTCCAGCCTTATAGACTCCTTCATCTTTACCCAGCATGTTAGCCCCACACACACCAGGGGGCACACTCTAGACCTTGTTTTTACCCTGAGTCTAAATGCTGACAGTGTTTGTCCTGAGGACGTTTATATTTCAGATCACCATTGCATTTTCTTTAACTTGTCAGTTTCTGCATCCTCACCTCCTGCTCGCCGTATGGTTAGTTCTCGTTTTCTTAATGAGAGCACAGCTAGCAATTTTTCTGCTGCTTTTGATCCACCCTGTTCTTCTGATAACGACCCAGATTCCTTAACTTGTCAGTTTAACGAGCACTGCCTCTCCATTCTGGACAACATTTGTCCTGTCAGAACCAGATCAGTTCCTGCAGTGAACCCTACTCCCTGGTTTAATGACAGCCTTCGCAGCCTGAAACGCCAATGCAGAAAAATTGAAGAAAACCCATCTCCACGTCCATCTGCTGCACCTAAAGGATCTTCTGACATCCTTTACCTCTGCAGTCAGAGACATTAGGGTTTCCTATTTCTCCAACCTGGTGTCCCAGAGCAAAGGGAACCCCAAGGTGCTGTTTAACACCATCAGCAGCATCGTCTATCCTGCCTCTCCTACAGCCTCCATCCACTCTGTTGCAGACTGTGAGAACTTTCTGTCTTTCTTTGTGGACAAAGTCAATAAGGTTAGATCAAGCATCTCTCCTTCAGCCTTATCGCTGCCTCTCCTGACTCCAACCAGGCCCATATCCTAGATAGCTTTGCTCCTGTTTCTTTGCCTGAGTTAACCAAACTTGTTAACTCTATGAAGACCTCTGCATGCCCACTAGACATCTTACCCTCATCTTTGTTTAAAAGTGCTTTTCAGTCCATCGGTCCCAGCGTGCTCTCTATAATTAATGCTTCTCTGGTTTCTGGTCAGGTCCCTGCTTACTTTAAGAATGCTGTAATCCACCCGCTTCGTAAAAAAATGAGTCTCGACCCCTCTCTCCATAGCAGCTTCAGACCCATCTCTAAACTCCCATTCATCTCCAAGATCTTGGAAAAGGTTGTGGCTAAACAACTCACAGCTGCTCTTGATGAACATAACATCTATGTTTGCTTGCAGTCAGGTTTTCGTAGAGCTCATTCTACTGAAACGGCTCTTCTTAGGGTCTCTAATGACCTTCAGACTCACAGTGATGCAGGGGACTGTTCTGTTCTGGTCTTGCTGGACCTGACTGCAGCCTTTGACACTGTTGACCACCACCTGCTACTGGAGAGGCTGAGAGACTGGGTAGGCCTATCAGGATCTGCTCTGGAGTGGTTCTCCTTTTATCTCTCTGAGCGCTCCTTTTCTGTGGCCGTCTCCAAGTTTAGGTCCTCCACCACCTCTCTTACCCATGTTGTCCCTCAAGGTTCTGTTCTGGGGCCTCTGCTCTTCCTCCTCTATCTGCTTCCTCTTCAGAACATCCTGAGCTCCTTCAAAGGAATCTCCTACCATCTTTATGCAGATGACATCCAACTGTACATCTACTTTAAGCTTCATGAGATGTCTAAGCTGCAGCTGTTACACACCTGCTTAGACTCTATCAAAACCTGGATGGCTGGGAGCTTTCTTCAGCTGAATGAAGATTAGACTGAGATCCTCATCTGTGCCCCAGACAAGCTGGTTCCCAAAGTCAGAGACTCTCTTGGTCAGCTTGCTTCTCACACCAAACCTTCCGTCAGGAATCGTGGCGTGACCTTTGACCCAGCTCTCACCCTGGATTCTCATGTCAGTTCTCTTGTTCGCTCTTCCTTCTTCCATCTCAGGAACATTGCTAAGCTGAGTCCCATTCTGTCTCGCTCTGAACTTGAGACTGTTATCCACACCTTCATCTCCTCACGCTTAGACTACTGTAACTCTCTTTTCACGTGTCTGAGCAGAACCTCCCTGAACCGTCTACAGGTGGTTCAGAATGCCTGTGCTCGGCTTCTGACCAAGTCCTCCAAACACACCCACATCACCCCGCTTCTCCTCCAGCTTCACTGGCTGCCAGTCAACTTCAGGGTTCATTTCAAGATCCTGGTTCTGGTCTATAGGGCCTTACATGGACAAGCACCATCTTACATTGGTGATCTTCTTAGTCCCTACACCCCCAGCAGGTCCCTGAGGTCCAGTGATCAAAGCCTACTGGTTGTGCAGCACCAGGTTAAAGACCAAAGGTGACAGATCATTTGCTGCTGTGGCCCCCAGACTCTGGAAATCTCTCCCCCTGAGCCTGAGATCAGTGGACTCAGTGGTCTCCTTTAAAAAGCAGCTGAAGACTCACTTGTTCAAGCTGGCTTTTGTATGACCTTCTTCACCACTCTCTCTTTATTCTGCTCTCCCCACCTATTCCACCTTCCTCAGGATCCACTAATTTCCCTATTTCCAATTATCTCTCTCTTTCTTAACATTTTTTTAATCACAATTGTCTATTTTTGCACATTTTAAATATATTTTTAGACATTTTCTAAATGTTTTTTTATATTTTTACATTTTGTGTTTTTATGAAGCGCCTCGTGATTTTTATCTTGAGAGGAGCTATAGAAATGATATTTTCTTGCTACTACCAAGTCTGCTACATGACATCAGTTGCTTAAGCCACATATCCTGTACTGGCCAGAGGAGACAGGTTTCAGACCAGAGACTAGCTTCCAGGAGAGTAGCAGGGCCTCATTAGATTTCCTTTGAAGCATTGCAAGACTTTCAAAATGAAACTCTAAATTTGCAACTGAAACAGGAGAATGTATGAATGCAGCCAAAATGGGGTTGTTTGTTTAATTCATAAAGAAATTATAATATCACATGATGAAAAGCTCCAAAAAGTGAATTTTCATCATTTAACTCCTTTACAGCAGTGTGAATGGAGTGCTTTTGCTTGTGCTTATGTTCTTCTTTTCATTTTACCAACACCGATTATGCTGCTAAGGCTGCTGATGTCATTTCCTACTGAGTGACAACCAATCAGTGTGAGTTCACTAAAAGTTACAAAGGTTTTGAAATGGCCCAGAAAACATTCCATTCAGCCGGTCTGGTGAAGTGGAGATACTTATATGCCAAGAAGTTCCAATACAATAATCCTGAAGTTCCAATGGTGGAAACCTGCCTCATGATTGCAGATGGAAGAAGGGGACTGCTTCACAAGAACTGGGCTGCCTATGACTGTTTTGGGATAGAGGAGGAGCAATAATTACATGTGCATTCTTCAACAATCTCCCAAGACACCCCCAAAGAGACATCTTCAGCATAATCCACCGTTAAACATGAGAAGCTGTGAAGTGTGTGGATTTGAGCTACAAAGAATACATTTGGTTTTCTCAACAGTGTTGGGAGTAATGCGGTACAAAAGTAATTAACTACTGTAATGCATTGCTTTTTGCTGTAATGTGGTAATGTAAGGCATTACTGGGAATGAAAATGGTAATATTTACTCGGTACAATTGTCAGTAACGTAGTAATTACAATGCATTTTTAAACCCAGAATCAAGATGCGTTTCTTAAAAATTCAAATTGTGGGAAACCCGAAAAAAGATCCAGTATCTGCATATATTACGTCATTTATGGACTCAGCTTTGCGGGCAGAGAGGACGCAGCAGTAACGGCTCAAATACTCCAGCTGCGTCCTGCACGCGGCCGCTGTAACATTCACAAAATCGCTCCACTAAAGCAAAATAATTATCTTGCGATCGTTCATATCAGCGCATGTTCTCTGGTATTTTGTACTTTTCTGACGTGCTTTGCCTCAGCTGAGTTCATAATCTGTGCCCCGGTGATTTCAACTCATTGCTGCTGGAGTACCCCGCATGTGAAGATCCCTTTGGCTGATAGAAAGTAGGAAGTCTAGGAAACTGTTTTTCTGGAAGACTGAGAAAACATGCAGCATGCAGGAAAGTTAGAGAGAGAAAGGGCAGGAATTTATTCAAATAAAATCAAGAAAACAAAACAAAGTGCTTGAAAAGAAAAAAGGTAGGTAGATATCCCCAATACACATTTTTACCAGTGAAAAGCAATAATATATAAACATTTAATATTTATACATGTGATGGAATCAGATCACCCTCAAAAGTCAGTCCCACATCCAGGGCCGTATCAAGGCATTTGGGGACCAAGGCTAAAAAGATTTGGAGCCCACCACCTCACTCCCTGCTCAGTTCATATAAGATGGCAGCGTGCTGAGAGAACAGATTGTTGTTGCTTTTATTTAATTAACAATCATTTTAAAGAACTGTTTTAACAGCAATCCTAGCACAGACAACACATCACATTCCACCGGATGTGTCATGAGTTCAACGGGCATCAGATTACCAAATTCATACTGAAGTTGTTTTGTTGAAAGTAACTTAGAGTAATGCAAAAGTAGTGTGATGCCTTACATTTTAAAATCAGTAATGTTGTAATGTAATGAATTACTTTAAAATGAGGGTAACATGTAATAAACAATGTATTACAGTTTTGAAGTAACTTGCCCAACATGGTTTCTCATTGAAAGTTTTTTTACACTTCACAATGACATCACTAATCATGGAAAACTACAGCGAAGAAGTGAGTTAAAAATAACCCCCACACGCTCTAACTCTTTTCTGCTGTCCAATATAGTTTTTCACACGTGATACATAACAACTGAAACAGGTTTGGCCAAGTTCAGTGGTTTGTTTGGTTTCTGTTACACGGGAGATGAGCACCCAAATGTGCTAGAGGGGATTACGCATAGGGGCTTCAGGTCTGTATTCTGACTTTATTCTCTTGTGATGTGTGAAAATGACTAAAATTACTGTTAATTGAAACCAATATAATCTGGGATCATTTGAGTTTCTTGCATTTCTTTAATGTTTTGACAGACCTGTTACAGTAATGGAGTTTGGGCTTTTATTGTTTTGAGTCTTGCTCAGAGGTGCTCACCAGCAGGCAAACCAATAGCTGCCTACTGTCTAAGGGAATTTATTGAACCCTTTGATACATAATGGTCACTACAGTGGACAGGTGCTCAAAATGGTTATTTTTTTGTTTTTTGTTTTTTTGCTATTAAGCACAGCTGTTGAAGACCTTATTGCATTTGAGCCCCTCCATTTGGACTTCAGTAAGTCAAGCCAACATATGACATGTTCAGAATGCACGCTGTCCACTGAGGTTGACACGTAATAAATTATTTGTAAATTTTTAAATGTTGCAAAAATGCTGTTGAAATTTGTTTCATTCACAAATATGAATGAAAAAAAGTTTAAAAAATCATGGTTGAAGATTTCATAATTTATTCATCAAAGGGTTAACTTGATTTAAATGGTCTTGTCCACTTTATTTCACTTCAATGCAGCCTTTAGTTTAGGTACATTCAGTGAGAATAACCCTAATGTAACAATGTGATGCACTTCAACACTTAAAAAATGTTTTCTTTTTTCACAAATTGATTTATGTTCCTCTGTTCCACTCACTAAAGAGGCTGTTATCTTCATTGCTTAAACCTAACACAGTGCCCTACTTGAAATGTGCTTGAATGTACATTTTACTTAAGCCAGTATCGGTATTCCTAACTTTTTTTTTATCACTTGTGTTTGAATTATTACAGGGAATAGCTGTTGTAATATAAGAAGCACCTTTCTGTCCTACTGACAAAAACACTAACGCACCACACAGCCCGTAGTGGTGATACCATTTGTTCACAAATGTGACAAAGCTATAGAATTCCAAAGAGGGAGGGGTTTGCTCAGACGGTCCACTAACGTTCAAGTTTTAATGGAGGAAACTTCTGGCAGTTGTTTTATTTTATAGTGTCTTAGACAGAAAGTCATATATCGCCTTTTCCAAAATCAGCTGCACATGCTGACGTATTCGATGTGTTTGATAAGGATGAAAACACAAGAATCACAACAAATTGTGAACAGGATAGTAAATGGATGTGTGCTGAGGGACAGACTGCTGATGAATGACTGTCTCACAAAGAACAACCAGTTTCTTTAGTTTTTATTTTGCTTTACAATCTAATTTGGGGGGAAATGTTGATCTCCAACCCTGAAATTGAGTTGAATCTCTAACCCTTTTTAAAAGTGTACAGTTATTGATTCCCTTGGTGAAAGTATTGATCTGAATGTGACCCATCACTGAGGAGCAGTGGGCTGTCATTTGTTTGGTGCCCAGGGAACAACTTTCAGGGTCCAGTATCTTGACAAGGGAACTTGGTTTGATCCACCGGGTCCTGAGATTGAGCTGCTCACATTCAGATCAGTGGGCGATCTCCCCTCCCACGTGTGTCCCATTGATTACCTGGTTGAGCTACTTTTGGCTGGTTTGTGTGCCGGACTAACTCTGGGACATCTTGGATCCTGTCTGCTCAAGCCGACCTTGGCTTCAGTGGTTTTTGAACTTCATCATGGAGTATCTCAGTAGTCTTTCAGCCTAACCTTCTCCAGTTGCTGGCTAAACTTTCTTTTTTTTTGTTATTTACCAAAGAAAAGAATCATAACAAGATATTTTTAATAGACCCTACCTGTCTGATCAGGCTCCAACATCATGCAAACTGATTTTCAAGCGTAAATAAGCACAAAACAGATTTCACTTCTGATTTTTCTGTCTTTTTAATTGTTTTGGTCTCTCACTATCACTTTGGTCCATTGATATTTGTGTCTCATTCTTTATCTTTACTGCTCTCCTGCTCTTATAGGTATGTTTCCTCACTCAGCAGTGTGCTGCAACACATTCTTACACCCTAAGCGTCGAAAAATGACGCGGTGTGACCAAGCGTTTGTTTCCGACGCGTTGGGAACCACTGCGCGTCAGGAGGCGAAGCGCTGTGCCAGAGCGTCGGTTTCCGGCGCCCACGTTAAAACGGAGATTTCACCGACATTTCACTTCTAACCTCGAGCGATTGAATCTTCCCCTCACCCACATCCTAACCTTAACCCAGTATGTCAGTGTAAATTTTCCATTAAGCGTGTTTGAGAGGAACGACGAAACGTGAAACAAAGCCTTGCATACGCAAGCTGGTGAAGGTTATGATGGGGGTGAGGGGAAGGTTAAATAGCAAGAGGGTAAAGGTTGCAATTCGGTCAAATGTCCTTTTACCGCGAGCGTCGGATACCGACGCTCTGGCACACCGCGTCACCTACCGACGTACAGGAGCTCCCCACGCATCGGAAACAAACGCTTGGCCACACGTGAGATTGTATTGCAACATTAAAGATGTGGTAAATCATTGTCAGCATTGTTTTCTGCTTTTTGTGCTTTGCTTTTCTCCATTCATTTTAGCTTTTTTCCACTGTTTCCTCTTTGTCTTCCACAGCCCAAACAAAAATACCCCAAAATGCCACAGAAAAAGATATTTGTGGTCCTTCTTCTTGTTTGTACTGTCAGCCTTGTGGTTCACAACAGGAACTTCTTCAGCTGGTGAGTGACTCTAAACAACTGAAAACTCTGACAATGGAGGGAATTTGTCATTTTATCTTCTATTAAAATAAGTAGAGGCCAGCCTCATAATAATAATGAGTGCTAGATGTGGCAGAGCTACTATTTAGCCTCAGAAACCAAATAATTAGAGATGTGCTAGATGATTTTCAGCACTGTTTTCTGTTATTTGTACTTTCTCTATTCATCTTACATTTTTTCCACACTGCTTATCTTTACTTTGAATGTCTCTTCTAGTGACTGTCCTACATTTGTGTCAGGAACACATTATTCTAACCTGACTTCCTTTGTCTTTAATCTAAGGACCTGGGAGGCCATCCACCTGGAGTACTCAGCCCAATACTCCCACACAGCCTCGGACGTGAAGCCAAAGCACACCAGCATAGCCTTCCTCGAGACCCAAAAATCAACCAACAGCACTATTCAGAACATGTATGCATGCAACACTTTGACCTTTGACTTGGGTGGAAATATAGACCAACCAGCAACAGATGTAGCTTATGCAAGGGCCTTTGTGATAAGCCTAATATACACAGTGCATTTTTCAGCTGTCACGAAGGACTGCTTCATGTCATAGTAGCCAGGGGCGGCGCTAGGCCCGGCTACTTGGGCTCAAGCCCTGAATGTTTTTTGAAAAGCCCCGGATCTAAAACGTGGAAGTAACATGCAGTACCAAAGTCCAACAGAGAGGGAGCAGCTGGCAGTAGTTTGTATACAGCCTGCCTGAGCCTCCACCACTGAAGAAGAAGCCCTTCAGCAGCTGGCTTCTTCTGCAGTCTCTGCCTGAAACGCATGTGTGAAGATGGACATAAGGACGTTTTTTTAGACAAAAAGTACCGCCACAGAACCCCAGCTTTGATGAGACTGGTGTTGACTCAGGTTTGTGAGTCTTTTTGAAAATATTTGTTGTGCTGCTGGTTTGCCTAAAGTTAGCTTACTATCAGGTAAAGTTGTTGGAGAAAGAAAGGGAATATTTACTATCATCTCACACTAAACACTAACAGGAACAATACTCTGCCCTGAAAATGCTTAATATGTAGCTTCAGATTAAAAATTATGTGGTACAAGACATATATGATGTTGACTAGTGCGTGTCACGTGTGTGTGCGCGTGCGTGCTTGTATGCGCGCGTGTGTGTTAACCCCCAGATCTTCTTCAGTCCTAAATCCGCCCCTGATAGTAGCTTCGTTTACATGCACCAAATGTCCCCTATCCGATACAAAATCTTAGTTAATCGGAAATCCCAAATCTCTGTTTACATGGACACTAACTAATAATCCCATCATGCCCTAAGTATGGACATCAATCGGAATGATAACCACTTCTCTTAATCATAATGGAATTTCATTCTGATCAGGCCATATCGGATCAGAATATTCCGACATGTTTACATGAAGAATTTTAATCTGATAGGGCATTTGTTCTGATTACTTGTGCACGTGTAAACATGGCTACTGTGAGGTGTCACGCTGCAAGCTCAGGAGGATTGGACCCAAAGAGCAGAACACCACAACTCAAAGCTGGAGAGGTCGTATAAAAATAAAAATCCTTTTATCAGGAAAACCAAGACTGCAGGACTCTAAGCAAGGAATAACTAAAGTTCTATAGACGAAAAAACCAAAAGCTCACTCATGAGCAAGGGACTATAAATCTGTAGAGGACAAGGCAACGCTGACAAAAGACAATGGACCAACAAACACTGAGGGACAAGACAGGGTTTTTAAACACAGAAGTAATCAGGGGAACAGGTGACAGGAGTGAGGAGTGAGATCTGGAGGGAAGACAGGTGCCATCAATAACCTAAATGGGGGAAAGAACTAAGCAGGAGGGAAGGTAAACATAAACCTGTAAAACACTGAATAACTAAACCTAAAGACTAAGGGCAAATATAAACAACTAATAACTAGAGGAGGATTAATACAAAATCAAATAGGAACTACCAGGGAGTGACTAGGGGGAAACATGAGGGAAGCCTAGAGAGAGCTGGGGATCATAATGAGTGCGTTTACATGCAGCCAGTAACCCTTTTAAAACCCGAATATTCACAATAACCCGGTTCCGCAGGTCCATGTAAACACTGCCAAAAACCCGGATATGCTCATAACCGGGCTTTTAAAAACCCGGTTACTACACCTGGGGTAACCCTTTTCTGACCCGAATGTTTGGTCGTGTAAACGCATATCGGGATATCCCCATCAAAACGTGTGTTCTGCGCATGCTCTGTTCGCAAGGAATCTTGGTCTTTTGAGTAGCGAGACGTCTTGTATGCACCAGAACACCGGAAGTAAACAACAAGTTGGGAGCAACATGGCGAGTCGCGGCACAGCACCGCACTTTTGGAGTGACGAGGAAACTAAAGCGCAAACAAACGCGGCCGCTATCTCTTCCGAACTGGGAAACATGTTGTTGTTTTCACGGATACCGGAACAAGTAGAACCGGAAATGATGCATATTGCGTCTGGACGTAGTCCATACGTCCTGACGTAGTCCATACGTCCTGACGCTACCCCAACGTCCGCATTTAAATCGGGTTATGCAAGTTAGAGGTAACTCTTTCTATTTATGCTTGTAAACGGGTTATTCTGATCAACTCAGAAACCCGAATACCGACTTTAACCCGATCATAACCCGGATATTGGCTGCATGTAAACGTAATCACAGAGACACAAGGGGAGAACCTGGAGTGAGAACAGGAGGGGGCTGGGGATCAGAGGGACACATGAGGACTCAAGAGAGGTGCCACACTATACACTCCAAGATTTCAGAGAGGCAAACAGCACAATGCCTCACTTTAGCAGGCCACGATAATGTCATCTTCACTTCATAAACTCACTAGTTTTTTGCATCACTCCTAGAGTGTATTTACATTGGTCCATTGGAGACTGAAGGGCGTAGATTTTCTGGCAATGTTTCAAGACTGAGGCTTGATTTGGTCTGGAAAGTATTCAAATAGTTGTCGGCCGGCTGCTTATACAGACCTGAAAATTAACTTCATGTTCCATGTTCTTCATCACGACAAGAAATTTGCGTAACATGGCCAAAAAAATTCACAAGTGGAGAGAGTTTTCTCCTTGGAGATGATTTCTGAGTGTTTTTTCTCGATTGCTTAAACACATTTCTGAAAACAGTAAACACATTCATAATGTCTCACCCAATTTCCCAAACATCGTATTTTCATGTCAAGATGAAGCTCTACAGTCAAAACCATTCACTCTTGCTGAAAAACCAAACTTTGCCCACAGACATCACACACACAAGGCCTCACAAACCCACACACAACATAGTCTTACACCATGGTGCAATACATTAAAAACTGGCAAGTTATGTTGTTTGTGGTTCTTCCCCACTGAAACCTTTTCATCTGATGAACACAAAAGACTCAGCCAATGTAAATATAGTTGCACATATTTATTCACGTATACAACACAACACACACCACAAACATTATTCCACCTCAGCATCCTGTCTTTGGTCTGGGTCAGGCCAGAGTGTCTCATCCACATCACAGGCTATATTGGCCCTAGGCGGTGTTCTGATGACAGAGGCAACATTAAAGCAACTTACATTTGGCTGGACTCATTGTCTCGTTTCCCCCATCTTCCTACCATGGACAAGGACAAGGTCAACTAAAGTGGCTCGAATTCCATCCAAGACCACTTGTCTCCTTGCCCTTGCTTTTACCCTCCACTTCCTCCTCCACCTCCTCCACCCTGGTGTCCTAGACCTCCTTCTCCTCCTCCTCCACCTCTTCCACCCTGGTGTCCTAGACCTCCTTCTCCTCCTCCTCCACCTCTTCCACCCTGGTGTCCTAGACCTCCTTCTCCTCCTCCTCCACCTCTTCCACCGTGGTGTCCTAGACCTACTTCTCCTCCTTTTCCTTGGCATTTCTTTGGATCAATTTTTTCAAACCTGAATGAGCCGGCATTGGCCCTTTACGTAATCTATCCATCAAAGTTTCTGATTGGTGTGTGTTACATTGTGACATCTAGTGTTTCCAGATGGTTAATTGTGTGCTAATTGAGCTCAAGCTGCACTGACTTCTGTTATCATTATTGACTGCTAGTGCTTTCTAAATGACCACATGGTGTCAGCAGTGAAAAATGTTGGTATTTGTGTGTAGAGTTTTGCAGTAACAGTTCATCAAATCTGACTCGTTTATAAAAGCAGGAGAGTACTGTGTATGGTTCAGGGAAATGGGTGTGCTATTTAAAAAATATCATTATGGTTTTTGGAATTTGAGTTCAAAAGGTTGGCTATAGTGTTCAATCAATCGAGAAAAACTGTAACAAATCTCTATGGCTCTTCGTCATCTCCTCTCTTGGGTTTTGAGGACATTCTGTACATGAAACTTACTATGTGAACAGATATGTCTAATAGGGCCATCAGTCCTGAAATTTTTTTAATCGTGCTGAATCAAGAGTTTCATTGTTAACTCATGATTATTTGCAATTATTCACAAATTACTTAAAGATTGTAAATGTTCCATAACATGGTATTTTTCATGTTTTTATTGCTCCTTTAGGTTGTTGAAGCAGACATTATATGCAAATGTATGTTTGTAGTAGCAACAATTCCAAATAAAGACTACTAGATAAATATAATTTCTTCCAGAAATTATGTTTGAATGCTGATTGCTGAAAATGATAGCTGAAGCTGCTTAAAGGTAATTAAGAAATGGTTCAAAGCATAAATGTCTGAATTCAGTTAAAACCTGAACAGTAATGCTGTTTAAAAGGTATTTTAGCAGAAATAGTTTAATACTTGAATTATTAGAAAATTTAAAGCAGAAATCAAACACGAAGAGCTGTAGTTTAAATCATGAAACTCATAGTTAGAATGCAAACATTGTATTGAGCGTGTAGTGTGAAAAAAGAAAAAGAAAACTAAAATTTTGAAATTAAGTCCAGCTCTTTAGCTGCTTAAGTTAGATTATGAGCTGAAGTAAAGTTGAAACAGAGCTGAAATATTCAGGTATTCGCAGAAATTTGTGAACAAAAAACAGCAATTTTTTACAGTTTCACTGAATCCTAATAAATACAAAAAACTGTCTATAACTTCAGCTGCAATCAAACCAAAACTGTAAAAGATATTTTAAAAAGCTGCTTCAATAAGTTTGGTTCCAATGTCTTGTGACCTATTATAATATAAAGGATGTGTCTAGGTTCACTTCTGTTGACATACTAAGCTCAGAAACAGCAGTAAGTAATAGGCTGGATTTAAAGCTTTCTACAATAAGTCCAATTGGCTCATCTCTGTGTGATTTGCATTGCTATGGTAGTAGTTAATATAAAGCATCTTTAATATTGTAGCAAGACCAGCTACCTCTTTGGGTCCATCTGTTGTAGGCTTCACCTACAGTGGTGTGAAAAACTATTTGCCCCCTTCCTGATTTCTTATTCTTTTGCATGTTTGTCACACAAAATGTTTCTGATCATCAAACACATTTAACCATTAGTCAAAGATAACACAAGTAAACACAAAATGCAGTTTTGAAATGATGGTTTTTATTATTTAGGGAGAGAACAAAATCCAAACCTACATTGCCCTGAGTGGGCGACGGCGGCACAGGAGTTAAGTGCTCGCCCCATAATCGGAAGGTTGCAGGTTCGAGCCCCGCTCAGTCTGTCGCTGTCGTTGTGTCCTTGGGCAAGACACTTAACCCACGTTGCCTGCTGGTGGTGGTCGAAGGGACCGGTGGCGTCAGTGCTCGGCAGCCTCGCCTCTGTCAGTGCGCTCCAGGGCAGCTGTAGCTACATCGTAGCTCATCACCATCAATGTGTAAATGTGTGTGTGAATGGGTGAATGACTGATTGTGTTGTAAAGCGCCTTGGGGGGTTCCAGGACTCTAGAAGGAGCTATATCAAATACAGGCCATTTACCAAAAAGTAATTGCCCCCTTTGTTAAAAAATAACCCAACTGTGGTGTTTCACGCCTGGGTTCAATTTCTGTAGCCACCCCCAAGCCTGATTACTGCCACACCTGTTTCAATCAAGAAATCACTGAAATATGAGCTGCCTGACACAGAGAAGCAGACCAAAAGCACCTCAAAAGCTAGACATCATGCCAAGATCCAAAGAATTTCAAGAACAAATGACAACATAAGTTATTGAGATCTATCAGACTGGTAAAGGTTATAAAGCCATTTCTAAAGCTTTGGGACTCCAGCGAACCACAGTGAGAGCCATTATCCACAAATGGCAACAACATGGAACAGTGGTGAACCTTCCCAGCAGTGGGTGGCCGACCAAAATTACCCCAAGAGCGCAGAGACAACTCATCCGAGAGGTCACAAAAGACCGCAGGACAACTTCTAAAGAACTGCAGGCCTCGCTTGCCTCAATTAAGGTCAGTGTTCACGACTCCACCATAAGAAAGAAACTGGGCAAAAATGGCCTGCGTGGCAGATTTCCAAGATGCAAACCACTGTTAAGCAAAAAGAACATTAGGGCTCATCTGAATTTTGCTAAGAAACATCTCAATGATTGCCGAGACTTTTTGGGAAAATACCTTGTGGACTGATGAGACAAAAGTTGAACTTTTTGGAAGGGAAATGTCCCGTTCCATCTGGTGTAGAAGTAACACAGCATTTCAGACAAAGAACATCATACCAACAGTAAAATATGGTGGTGGTGGTGTGATGGTCTGGGGTTGTTTTGCTGCTTCAGGAACTGGAAGGCTTGCTGTGATAAATGGAACCATGAATTCTACTGTCTACAAAAACATCCTGAAGGAGAATGTCCGGCCATCTCTTCGTCAACTAAAGCTGAAGCGATCTTGGGTGCTGCAGCTGGACAATGACCCAAAACACCAGCAAATTCACCTCTGAATGGCTGAAGAACAACAAAATGAAGACTGGAGTGGCCTAGTCAAAGTCCTGACCTGAATCCTATTGAGATGTTATGGCATGACCTTAAAAAGGAGGTTCATGCTAGAAAACCCTCAAATAAAGCTGAATTACAACAATTCTGCAAAGATGAGTGGGCCAAAATTCCTCCAGAGCGCTGTAAAAGACTCGTAGCAAGTTATCGCAAATGCTTGATTCCAGTTATTGCTGCTAAGTGAGGCCCAACCAGTTATTAGCTTCACGGGGCAACTACTTTTTCACACAGGGCAATAATTAAAAACCATCATTTCAAAACTGCATTTTGTGTTTACCGTAATTTCCGGACTATAGAGCGCACCTCAATATAAGCCACACCAACAAAAAAAGGTTTTCTACACACACACACACACAGACGCCGCACTCGAATACAAGCCGCTGCGCATCAGCCACGTGCAGGTCTCCGGCGCACAGTGCATGTATGGCCATAACATAAGGTAATTAGACAGAAAGACGCTACACGGAGGTTTTTCGTTGCTGTTTTAAATCAACAAAACAAATATTAAACACGGGTGAACGTGACTGCAAGTATAGAAAAGAAAACCGCACTGAGAGCATTCAAATTTCTGGATGGTTATAAAATAAATACAGAACTGACACGTTATTACCGGTAATTTGCATGTTTAGAAGAAAAGAACAGCGTTGACACAGCATTAATAAGCCCTGGATGATTAGAAAATAAAAACTGCACACAAAACATGCCTGGTTAGTAAATAAAACACACTTGCCTACCAGAAGAAGTCATTCGCTCTCATCTTCCTCTTGCGCACTAAAGCCATTAAAGTCCTCTTCTTCAGTGTCGGAGTTGAACAGCCTCAGAGGAGCTTTGTCACATACCTTTTCTGTGGCGATGTCAGTGTCGCTGTCCGTGTTGTTGTCATCATCCCCGGGCGAAGCTGGCTTGAATGAGTTCTTCCCGCTGCCGTCTCCAGCGCCGAACCATGGATGCATTCATGCCAAGCTTACGTGCGGCAGCGCTGGTTCCCTCCTTCACTGCCAGATCGATGGCCTTCAACTTAAATGCGGCGACATATGAACTCATACTTGTAGTTACCATGATGAGGGGGTACGATTTAGAAAAAAATTCTTCGTCGTGCCGGCTGCTTGCATGTGCTAAATTAAAATGAGCACTTTCTTAGATTTCCACTTTCGACTTCCACCTGTTTCACTTTCTGCTAAAGCGCCCCCTGGCAGGTGAAGGAAAATCTTCAGTAAAGCCGCACCTCATTATAAGCCGCATGGTTCAAAACGTGGGAAAACAGTAGCGGCTTATAGTCCGGAAAACACAGTACTTGTGTTATCTTTGACTAATGGTTAAATGTGTTTGATGATCAGAAACATTTTGTGTGACAAACATGCAAAAGAATAAGAAATCAGGAAGGGGGCAAATAGTTTTTCACACCACTGTAGGTCTTTTATGGTTGCTCCTCTTCTGACCCCTGATTCACATCAGACGCAGAAGCGGGACGATGTGCCGCGAAGCGCCGTGAAATGAAGAGCGATTATATTTGGCACTCTTGTTAACCTATGGTCTTGTTCACATCAGCTGCGAAGTGCGCCGAAGGTTCACGCCGTGCAGCGATCGTTCTGGCATGTGCTCTATTTTTATCGCGAGCCACTTCAGTTCTGGCTGGAAGTCAAACCAAAGCAGAAAAGGCAGGCTGGTAAATTTAACAAAATAAAGACATTTTTCTAATTAAAACACTGCGATTGATAAAAGTGATAAGGAGAGATACCACAGGTCATTCCTTCATACATCTGTAACATTTCACTACAAGTATCACCACCGACATGTGCAATATTACTACTACTATTGTTTATTATGTGCAATAATGATCTTGATTATCTTAATTTACAATTATAATCTTGTACGACATCTTTTGTGTTCTACTGCTGCTATCCTCTGTCCTTGAGCTGTTGCAATAATGCAATTTCCCCTCTGAGGGACAAATAAAGGTATTCTTATTCTTTGCTTCTGCAAGTTTGTCATATTGCTTATGTCTTTTCCAGTTAGTTCCAGTAAATTTCCTGAATCTTTTGAATCTATCTCTAGCATAAAATAACTTTTAATTTTCCTTTATAATAACTTTTTTGACTAAATGTCTCTTTATCTCCATCCTAAGGAACATGGATGTCTTTCATCTTGGTTCGGCGATCTCACCCCGTAACAACACCCAGCATTTGAAGCCTAAGCACACCAACGTAGTCTTCCTCAAGACCCACAAAACAGCTGGCACCACCGTGCAAAACATGCTATTTCGCTTTTGTGAGCGCAACGGCCTGACAATGGCATTACCAAGCTGGAGGTGTGATCATCAGTTTTGCTACCCACAGTTCTTCTCCTCTCAATTTGTCCACCCAAACACGTTACCAGCAAACATGATTTCAAACCACATGCGATTCAATGAGAACGAACTGAAACGCTTGATGCCATACAATACAAAATACATAACTATTCTGAGAGAGCCAGCTTCCACGTTTGAATCTTTGTTCACTTACTACAGTGCCCATGCTGAGGCATTCAGGAGGGTCCCCGGTGGCTCTTTGGAGGCATTCCTAGCAGACCCCTTACGGTACTATCAGCGGGGAGGAGGAAATGACATGTACGCACGTAACACTTTGACCTTTGACTTGGGCGGAGACAAAGATCGGCCATCAACAGATGTGGCCTATGCAAAAGCCTTTGTAGAAGAAGTGGAGAGAGTTTTCTCCTTGGTGATGATTTCTGAGTATTTTGATGAATCTCTAGTTCTTCTCCGTCATCTCCTCTCGTGGGATTTGGAGGACATTCTGTATGTGAAACTTAATATGCGAACAGAGAGGTCGAAGAAGAGTCTTTCACCGGGTCTTCGTGAAAAGATTCGTGCCTGGAATTCCATAGATACACATCTTTATGACTACTTTAACGCCTCATTCTGGGTAAAACTGTCCAAACTGGGTTTAGATTACGTGGCAAAGGAAGTGAGTCTTCTTCAACAGGCTCAGGAGAGGCTCATGAATAGTTGTTTTAATGGAACGCTGCCTGTTCCCCTTAAAGCTTCGGAGATCAAAAACAAAGAACTTCGACCCTGGCAGCCAAATGAAAATGTTGACATACTTGGTTACGAGCTCCCATCAAATATCAGCTCTGAGGCAAAGAGACGCTGCCTGAAGTACATCTTGCCAGAGGTCCCATACACAACCAAGCTTCTTTATTCCCAGATACGACAAAGATTTCGAAATTAAACACCACAAAAATCAAACACAACAGACTATTCACAAAACTCCAGCTCGTTATTTTCAGGTTCACTGCAATCTATGACTGCTGTTCAACACTCTGGCCTCCGCTTCAACAAGAAAGTCTAATTCTACACCAAAGCCTGGTTGTTGGAGGACAAAGGTGGGACATTTGTATATGTGAATGTATGCAACCCTGTGACAGCATAAGTCTAGTCATTAGCCACATTTACATGCGCATATTTAATCGGATTGAATGCCCATTCAGATTGAAAATTCTGCATGTAAACATGTCAATCAGAATATTCTGATCCGATTCAGCCCGATCGGATTGAAATTTCAATCCGATTGAGAGAGGTGGTTTATTCCGTTCTTCATTCCGATTGACGTGCATGTACACAGCCATTCGGATTGTTGGGGTAAAATAATGCCCACTGCGCATGTGTGCAACAGCCAGCGGGCCTCTCCGCTGTCATTTGGACTGCCTGACTTCAAAAATGACGGTGTAATTAACGAGCGGCGGCTTTTAAATCCGACAACAAGCCGTCCCGTTTCAGTAATATTTAATTCAGAACTTGCATTTTGTGGAAGTAAAATAAAAATCTGATTATTGCACAAATCATTCGACAAAGATGTTCAAATCTTTACTGGAAATACGCAGGTTTATCGTGGGGGTTGCAGCGCACGGATCCCCGTTTCTGTCAGCTTTGAACGCAGCAGCTTCTGCAGCAGGTGATGGAGACACGCTTGTAAAGAACACAGGATAATCTGGGTTTTACAGACCTGATTGGAGGCTGATGTTGGATAGGAAAACGTCCTCGGTTAAATACTCTGGACGACAGTAAAGTCCGTGTTCGTTAAAAGCACGTAAACGCAGATGACTTGAGATGCGGTTCGTTAATGATGAACACAGGCTTCTAAACTTTCTGAACATCTTCTGTTATTTTGTTTGAACAGATTTTTCTCAACAGTTTCAGCTGATCGTCACATGTTATTAATAATAAGCCACAACAGAGCTCAGTAATAAAACATGAGGCTAACCCCCCCCCACCCCCCACCCCCCGCTCTGTGCCGCAGCGCAGCGCAACAGCTGTCAATTCAGACCTGCGGACCAGCTGATCAAGAGGCAGACATAACCCTCCCTTATTTTAATCAACAATAAAATGCAGCAAAGCATATATCTGCAGTTATTCACTGAAGAAAACGTAACTTCTATGAGCTAAATAAAAATATTAAATTGAATAAATGGATCAGGAAAGCAGGAAGAATGGTTATTTCTGTTTTTACATTTTTCTTTTCGTTTCATGGCGTTTGTTTACAATTTTTCTTTCGTGAAAGGCAACTCTGCGCATGCTCAACCTATTTAATCGGATTAAATGCTTGGTGCATATGTACGCACGGCATGATCGGATCATTTCAGTTCGTGTCCATGTGAACAGATATTCGGAAATTCCGATCAACCAAGATTTCAATCGGATTGAGGAAATTTGCCACATGAAAACGCAGCTACTGTGACCTACAAGACAGAAAAAGCTGTTCACATCCAGTCTTCCTGGTCAATGAATGACCCAGTGTTTGGTAACTGTACAGCCAGTGTCAACTGGGTTGGTTAGTCCTTTGAAAGTATGCAGGCCCAGAATTTGGACACAGCCACTTGTGTTGCTGGCTAATGGATAAGGTGTGAGAATTTGGTACACGTCAGTACTAATGATCTGTTCAAATGTTCTGTAACCAAAAATTTAAATAAGAATACATATACCATTACACCCTTAATAGTAATACAAGCAGAGGCTCCACACCGCCCGGATAGCCCCAGTCGGCTCCAGCCTGGCCCGGTTGATTCCACGCATCCTTGCTTAGGGATGCCAGGAATGCAGTCAGAGACGTTCTCAGCTCCTAGGTAATCAGCATGATAATGCATTTCGAATGCCTTAAGCCCATGTAGGCTGACTCGGCCCACCAATTGGAGGCTTCCCTTAACACTGTGCGACTTTTTCACTCGTAGCACTCAGCTTCAGCTCAAACTGTATGACTTCCTTGGAGGGCAGATCTCACAAGTCATGTGCTCACACTGTACGACCCAGTTCTCGGATGCGACCTGACTGCTCACACTCTACGTCTGGTAGCAACACGTCGGCCCTAAAAATATGCTTAAAATAGCAGCTTTTACACAACACATCGGACTTTTTTGTCTTGTTTTGCCTGTTGTCCTTCGGGAGTGCTGCCACACAGGGATTTATGGGGGTTGGATGAGGAAAACGGAATAAAGAAAGTAAATCTGTGTTTTGTGATCAGTTTAATTTGACATGAACACAACAAACATGCTTTCTTGACAATCTTTGTGAGTAAAAAAACGTGTAGAAATAAAAACGAACAACGTGTTATTAGGGAAATAGCGGGTGAGCGGTGTTGATGCATGAATGCGCATGCGCCGTGAGCGGTTCTGGTACTTTTTGGGTCGCAGCTGCTCGCTGGGCCGCTTCAACCCTCACGAGGAACGAGCAAAATATCAAACACTCCAGAAGTCCGTGCGAGCTCACGATTGCTGATCAGTAGCTGGTCACGTGTTGTTAATCGCCTCTTGTAACCCCCCTGTATACTGCACGACGCTCAGCGCAAAACTCGCCCCGATCTTGTGGATTCTCGCACGAGTGGAAAATCGGCTCAAAAAAGTGAAATGTTGCACAGTGTGCTCCCGGCTTAGTGGGAGGCATGACTTTGAGCTGGCCTATCAGTCAGCAGTGGGTGTGTTGGCTCTGGTCAGCCTGAAGCAGACCACCTCAGGAAGAGGGCTGAAAAGCAGTCTGGTTGCACCCTGAATGCATGCAAGCTATGCTAATGTGGGCACTCGCTATCCTAATGTGGGCACTCTCTTTGCTATCCAGACCATGCAGAGCCGATGCTGGTGGGAAAGGGACAAAAGAGATCAGTTGTTGCGCCTGCAAAGATGGTTGTGAGTTCACCTTCAACCATTAAACACAAAAGTACAAAAATATTTCTTTTCTTTACATTGTCCAAAACCATAGGCAATTTGGGAGTAGAGCAGAAAAGTTTTGGGAAAAAATTTAATTGTGAATTTGATACAGGAAAAATACACTTGGAAAAAGGACCAAATATGCAGATGCCCTGCTCTGTCAGTTCAAGCACAAGGCTTCCGTAACCCAGCCACCCCACTCCCTATTTGGCAGTAGCTGTCACTGCTGTCACATTTTTATAATAAATGATAAGTGGCCCACACTTGAATAGCGCTTTTCAGAGTCAGAGGACCTGACGCACACAGCCAGCTTTACACTATAATGTATCCTTCATCCATTCACACGCTGATGATGATGAGCTACAATGTAGCCACAGCTGCCCTGCGGCTCACTGACAGAGGCAAGGCTTTTGAGCACAGGCTCTGTCAGTCCCTCTGACCACCACCTGCAGGGTGGGTTAAGTGTCTTGCCCAAGAGCAAAAGAGCAGAATTCACTATAGGGAGCCAGGATTGAACCTGCAACCTTCCAATTGGACAACCAGCTCTACCTCTTGAGCTACTGCAGTCCTTAACCTGGGGTAACCCCTGGATGTGTAAAACACTTGACACACCAGATCCTGACTGAGTTAGTAGCACTGCAGGAACCCCACAACACAGTAAGACCTCCCATTTTTACCATGACTCAGAGAGAGACCGAGCACACATTCAGGGAAAGAACCTGTGCTTCCTTAGCATTTCACCTCCTTTGTTTCAATTTCACAGCCTGTAATCCTAGCTGTCGCAAACTAGTGAGGCACCTCCCTCCACTTATAGTAAGTCACCAACGTTTTGTTATCATACTCCGTTTTGCCTTGGTTCATTAACCGTAGTCTGTTAAACACTTACTGTCAAAATCAAATTTAAATATTGACTTGTGTGTTTCCACATCAACTCCTATGTGCTAAGGTTACACAGCTGTACATTTGCCTGAAGGTCATTGTCAAGCAGCATAAAGCTCCTTAATCTAATCCAAAAAGGACGTATAGATAAAACAACTGGAATATTTCTCAAAGCTTAGTGAGGCTGTGAACCCACTGCCATCCTTTACAGTCAAAACAGACTAAATTATTCCTGCCCTTGTTTACAGTAATATGGGGTGGCAATATGTAACTTGAAGGCTAATGTAAAAATGATGAATGTAATGATAAAGTGCATGTGTGAGCCTAATGTTGTTTTGACAGCCCTAATGATGTGCCAGTGTCAGTATTGAGATATTAGGCTTTAAGTTGTTGTTGCTGTTTTTTTCTTGTTTGAGTGAGTTTGTATCATGATGGTGAACATGACTGGAGAACTTGGTCGCAGTCAGGGCTACTACAGAGGGGATTTGACTACTTTGAAACTTTACATTATGTTCTATGAAGGCACCATAACCTGAACTAACAAGTGTGAGGAACAGAACAAAGATAAAATGAGAAAAAATAAACTCAAAATCAAATAGTGACAGTATTTCATATGTGTAATGTCACATTTTCTCAATTATTCTCCACCTAATAAAAGCTGAAAAAAAAGACTATAGCTAGCTAATAATCCAGGTTATCTCAGGGGTGAACTGTTCTTTCACACACTCATAGCATGATGCAAATGTTGGTCTTAAAACAAAATTTGTGTTAATCCCCAACTACAACCAACAGCTCCTACAAATTAAAGTGGGAGAGGAAATGGGCCTTTATAAAACATATAACACTAACTGAAACCCTGGCCCTGCCTTTCCATCAAATGCTTAATCATCCTGTAACATTGGAACAGTGTAATACGCAGCAAATAGCCGTTAAGCCCAACTTATACTTCTTCATCAGCTGAGTTGCAGAGTCGTCATATGCACGGGTGCAGGCGCGCAGATAGGGTAGGGGATGGGGGGATCAGTCCCCCCAGATTCAGATCGACCCCAATCCATCCCCCGCACTAAGGCCAGAAAGAAAACAAAATCTGAGGTTGTAAATCTATCAATCAATCAATCAAAGATACTTTGTTAATCCCAGAGGGAAATTGGAGTTTCAGTACACACAATTCAGAGATCAGACATACATACATAGGCATAGACACATGACAAGAATTGGTGACTGTAGTCATTCGCAACCCTGAGTCGCGCTACCTTAATAGAGATAAGAGGGTTACATGAGGA